TGGAAAAATGGAGCTTATGCCGTTTGCAGTTGAAAAGAATATTTATAGTTTGCTTACTTTAAGATTCAGTGCATAAGAAAGTTCGTTTACCTTAATGAAGAACAAAGTACTATTTAGTAGTCATGCAGAAGTTATGCCTTCTTTTCTTTTAGTAATAGTGCACTCATTTCCGGGTGGGTAATTGGCTATTCCCCATTGTGTGCAGCCCCAAAGTGACCTTGCCCCCATTAAGGAAAAGGTACATAAACCAAATAGAATTAATGTATTCTATTTGCCCAGGCATGGAATCTTAAGTAAAGAGATTTAAGGGGAGAAAACATTTAAATTTATTAATCCTAGCAGAGATTTAGGGGAAAACAACCCCAAATTGTAGATGAGTTCCAGTAAATAAAACTCAGAGGCTTTCCTAATAGTTTCTGAATCTGGTTGTATAGCTTAAAAAAAAAATTCTGTGAGCTAGATGCTACCTTCCCAATTATTTTTATGCTTAATTTATCCAGAGAAATATTTGGTTATTTATAGAAAAATTACAGAAGTTAAAAAAAATGGGTCAACCTGTACGTTTGGTGTCTCCCAATGTATATGATTGAAATATCTTCCCTTCCCTTAATATTTTTTTTAATGAAACAAAGTATTACTATTTTTAATGAAGTGATGAAGATTGGTGTGTTTTGTGGGAAATGAGAGCCTTTGGCCATCCTTAATAGGAATTGGATCAAAGACATTGAAAGAATGTTTTCAGACTATGAGTAGGAATATTTCTACTATTTCTTTCTTATTTTTCTTTTGTGTTTTTTGTTGATGATGATGGTAGTAGAGAAGTTTCACATATGTTTACCAATTATCGGTCACCCTGGAACACTTGCTTCCCTAGGTTTACTGGAAACAAGGCTGAGCAGGCTCCTTTGTAATCATCTTCCTTCATTATCCCCTGAATTTTATTTTTGCACAGAGCTATTTTAGGTCCACCTTTGTTTCCTCTGTACATACCTTTCCTGTGTAACCTCATCTATGTCTAAAGGCTTTGGTAACAATGTAGAAGTCAGTGACCCCTAACTCTACTTTTATCATATCTCTCAGAGCTCCAGACTCATTAAGCTACCTGCTTGTTAGACATCTCACTTTAAATGCAGCATAAGCAAAACTGAACTCATCCTCTACCCCTACCAGACAACCTGTTTGTTTCTACTTTCATGTTTCCTGAATCCAATTTACTTAAGCCTCTTTTTTCATACCCCCCCCTAAAATAATTACCAAACATTAGACATACTCGTTTTTTTAAAACATTTTACAAATTTTATTAAGACTCTAAGCCTTTGGATTGAAGATCAATGAACCCCCAAAAGAATAAACATAGAGTTCAAACCACATTAAAATAATCACTATATTGTTTAAGATTAGATACATATATGATAAAAGCAAAGCCAAACATATGTAATACTTTCAACAATAAAGATTTAAAAAGAAAAAAAAAGCAAAGGCAAAATTAACCAAAATTCAGGATAGAGGTTATCTCTATGGAGGATGGGGGGTGAGGGGGATGTGATTAGAGAGGGGATGGTCAAAGCCTTCAAATGTATTATTTAGTATCTACTTTTTCTCAAGTGACACAAAAGAGAAGTTTTACTCCGTATTATTATTCTTTAAATTGCATACATACAAAATAATACTTCTTGCATATATAACATCATAAAAATAGGAATGAATTAATAAAGTTTGTCCATTCTTCTGTGCTACCTATAACACAAGCCAAAACTATATGAAATGCTGAAAGGTATTCTTTAAGAAGAAGAAGAAGAAAAAGGCAAAGATAAAAATTATGAACAGCAAATACACATCTATCAACAAGTGAATCTAAAAATCAAGTGAACAAAAAATCTGATGAACAGAGTAAACTGGTGAAACCATTTTTTAAACGTGATCATCGTTTTAATTTGACTCCAATCTTGCCCACTTGCTATCAGAAACAACAGAGATAATTGCCCAAGACCGCACAGCCGGGAAACGGCAGGATTCAAAATCTATTCATCTTTCTCACTCTTGTGTTGAACAAGATAATCCTGGGAAAGGCTTAGCCCAACCTGGCATAGATGGGGTAAGCACTGGTTAAATCACCCCCTCACCGTGGAAAGGACCTAGTGCCCAGGTGGGAATAAAAGTTACTGGAAACCCAAGTCCTCGTGGCCAGTAATTGGGTCACAAATGAGCATCCTCTTGTCCCTACGTTTAAAAAATATATATCCACTTGGAATTTGGGTGGAGGACACCTGGAGGCCTAGCTCAGGTTCCCTGGGGCCGTTAGAACAGACCAAGGTGGCCATGCAGAACAGTTAGGGTGGGGGGAGAGGGCAGGCATAGCTAAGGTTCAGGGTTTCCCCAGCTGCCCAGAACAAGTTCGAGCCCGCAGAGATTCAGCTCTTCGCCTTGGCAGCACTTTCGGAATTGTTGTCTGTTATCTTTCTGCCCTACAGCAGGCACCATCATGTTCCGAGTTCTTAGTGTCCGGCACTAAGCATGACCAGGGTGGACATCCAGGATATGGCAAGTCTGGCTAAGCCCCCTGAGCCCTTCTGGTCTGACTTGAGCACCTCCTTGAGAAGTCTCCTTCCCTGATACACTGTTGTTTCCATGCCATCCACCATGAATCCCCACAGCTTTGAATTGCAGACTTAAAAATATTTGCTGAGCCTGGCCAGTGTGGCTCAGTGGGCTGAGCATAGTCCTGTGGGCTCACCAATCCCTTGTCAGGGCACATACACCTTTCCGACCTTCCCTTTAGGTGCTCCTCCTCTCCATGTTCACTGTACCTAGGTGGACCTCTCAGCCCCTAGACCAGTGGTTCTCAACCATCTGGCCCTTTAAATACAGCTCCTCATGTTGTGGTGACCCCCAACCATAAAATTATTTTCGTTGCTACTTCATAACTGTAATGTTGCTACTGTTATGAATCGTAATGTAAATATCTTAAATGCAAGATGGCGACCCCTGTGAAAGGGTCATTCGACCGCCAAAGGGGTCGCGACCCACAGGTTGAGAACCACTGCCCTAGACCAAATGGTTCCCGGACCAAAGGAGCCAGTCCTGATCCATCTCACTGTGGCATCGCCTAGCAGGGCTTGGCATCCGACTAAGCACTGGCAACATCTGTCGAAGGCATCATGGTTAAGAGGTATACCTCTAGAGTAGACAGGTCCTGGTTGGGATCCCAGCTACTCGAGACCTTGGGTAAATTCCTCTCAATTAGTTTGCTGGTCGGAAGAATGTCCGGCTGAGAAGTCCAGAAGTGAGGTTCGAACGACCTGGTTGTCAGGAATAGCCATTATACACTCAACCCAGGGGGAGGAGCACAACAGGCCTTTTAATAAAAGGTATCTGGCATCTGAGCTCTGTAAGGAGGAGGCGAAGTTACAGTGGGTTTTTTCTTCTCTGCCCCAATCTAATGTCCTCTACCCACAAGTCACCTAGAAAACAGCCTAAAGCACGAATGAAGTACTAATACTTTATTTCAGGGGTCCTCAAACTTTTTAAACAGGGGGCCAGTTCACTGTCCCTCAGACCGTTGGAGGGCCGGACTATAGTTTAAAAAAATAACTATGAACAAATTCCTATGCACACTGCACGTATCTTATTTTGAAGTAAAAAAACAAAGTGGGAACAAATACAATATTTGTATTTGCATGTGGCCCGCGGGCCGTAGTTTGAGGACCCCTGCAGTTTATTTGGATGGTGTAAACCCAGGGCACTGAGAGGGAGAAAAGCAAGACGGGGGAGAAGGGAGGCAAAGCAAGGCGCCAGCAGGTGGGTGCTGCTTCACGACAAGCCTTGAAACACAGCGGGTGTGCTCACTGGCTGCTCGGGACATCTCCCCACTGGCTGGACTGTCCGGAGACACAGTGTCTTGCAGCAATTCGGGGAAGGGAGGGAAGAAGAGGGGATTTATCTGCCTTGTCTCTCCCAACTCCCATTAGTCAAATGTGACCCAAGAGGATGAGCTCCCCCAGGGTTCTGTGTTGCTAGTGGCTACTTGAAATGCCAGACCCCATGCCCTGTGGTGGGGCATTCCATCCAACTCTGGAAGTGGTGGGAGGAAACAAACTCTGGGCATGTGGCTGGTGAGTTCTGGACAGAATCTGAATCAAGACATAAGATGTGTCCCAAACAGTCCACTAGTATTTTTTTCACTTCCTAGAAGACCTTTGCCAAGGTCTCATGGCTAGTAAGCAGCATATTCAGGATTTGAACATAGCCTGACACTGGAAACTGTGGAAGACCAAGATACGAACTTTGGATTTTTTAAAAAAATATATTTTTTTATTGATTTTTTTACAGACAGGAAGGGAGTGGGATGGAGAGTTAGAAACTTCAATCAGCTGCTTCCTTCACACCCCCAACTGGGGATGTGCCCGCAACTAAGGTACATGCCCTTGACCGGAATCGAACCTGGGACCTTTCAGTCCACAGGTCGACACTCCACCCACTGAGCCAGATCGGTTAGGGCAGCTCCATATTTTCTAGTTGTTTACCCCCCCACTCCTTTTTCTTTCTTTCTTTCTTTTTTTTTTTTTGCCTACCTAACACTTTATTGCTTTCATTCATTTTTCTGTTTTTCATTAAATGGAATGGGAATAATGAGCTCTACCCACTGAGCCAAACCGGTTAGGGCAGAACCTTGGGATTTTTTATAGCAAAGGAGAGTCACTGAAGAGTTTCAAGTTGGGGAGTGGCATAAAGAGCTTTTTAGTAAAGTTCCCAATCTCTACTTGCTTCATCTTTCCATATAGCTAAACTCAGCAACAGTAGGTGGCCCCCAAGAGGTAAGGGCATCCAACACAGTTTTTGAAGAGTCCCTGATGGGGTCCAGCTCACATGGGCTTCACTCAACACTGCCTCACAATCTTTCTCAGTCTGCAAATAAGCCTGTACCTACTCAGGAGGCTAGCTGGTCAGAGGCAAGCAGGGTCTGGGTGGAGAAGCCAAAATGAAGGGAAGAGGAGGTTGACCTAAAGACCAGGAGCAGGAGGACCAGCTCTCTCTTCATCGTTGGCCTGTGGATTGGGGGATCCTGGCACCCGTCAATGAGTCCTTTGGTGTTGCCTGAGGTGGTCAGATCTCATGAACCCTCGGCCACACAGATCACATGTGTGTGGCCTGTATTTGGTGTGTATCCGCACATGTCGTCCAAGCTCATCGGAACGGAAGAAAGACCGCGTACAACCTTCCCACTGACATTTATAGGGCCTCTCACCTGTGTGTTTGCGTTGGTGACTCAGGAGGTGGGAGTGCTTGGTGTAAGCTTTCCCACAGTTCTCATACTGGCAGCAGTAAGGCTTTAAAATCTGGGATCCGGTCCTGTAAGCCCTTTCTGAGGCCCCACCACTCTGCTCTGCTCTTTGTGGCGCAGGTATAGGCTGCTCGGGTAGGAAGGGGTCTTCGTGGGGGGCTGGCTGGCTAACAAAAGAGTCCTGGGATTGTAAAGTCAGCAATGATGGGGAGCCATCTGGGGGCATTCCACAGTTGTGCGGATCTCTAGGGGGTAACATCTGAGCCAAAGAGGGGAACCCAGCCTGGCCCCCAGCAGAAGGCACAGGGGCAGGCGATAACATTTCAGGTGTTAAAAAGTCTCTATTAGAAGATACTATAGGGTGGCCAGTGACTGGTGGCCCACTGGGGGGCGTGCTCAGATTCCCACTGAGGTTCATGGCCATCCCGGGAATATTGGGCTCTCCAAAGGACATCATCTGGTACCCGTTGAAAATCATCGTTCCTGGTTGAGAGGGAGACATTCTCTGACAGTAAATCATTGGGGAAGGAGGGAGAGTCACTTGGGGGCAATGGTTCACACTGTGCTCAGTCAGCAGCACACTGACCAGTGGGCCCATTTCCTCTGCATTCTGCCTGGGCTCCTGAGCAGAATCCAAGGGCATCCTCTGGAGCCGTGGACTCGGAAGGAGGGGTTGACTGCCTGATGGCTGATGGTTCCGAGAGGCGTGCCCTCCACTGCTTTCGGGTGATGGAGACATGCTGGAGACGCACATCGACTTCCCACAGTATCCCCTGCCACCTGGCGCGGGGCTGCCGGCCACGGGTGCACTAGCGCCATCTCCGCCTGGGGTCGGGGCACCGCGGGGCTGTGTGCGGGGCCGGGCCACGTCAGAGCTGAGCTGAGCCGCGCTGCCCGGCGTCGCAGGTCGCGTGTCGCGCACAGTAGACATACTCAGTCCTTATTTATATCACCTGTAGTGATTCACCATTACATTGCTTAAAATATAATGTGTTCAATAAACACCTTCTTAATAAATTAATATCCCAGACCATTGTATACCCGCAGGCCTACTTTCATCAACCTCATAACTTTGTTACTGCCTGTTTCTAATCTGACTCTGTTCTTTCAGATAGTCTATACTTTTCCAGAGTGATTTGATGAGTCGCAGCTTGAAGGACTCTTTCAGCATTAACACAAAGTGGATTCTATCGATATACTTAAGAGTCTTCTTATTCTGAGGAACTATATTGACTGCACTTTGTACCATTCTGACCTGACAAAAAGAATGTAAAACTATAGTAAGTAAAATACAGATACCTGTTCATGCCCTTACTGTGGTTATGGAGTGGGAAAGGAATTGTGAAATTACAGAGATACTCAAATTGGTTCTAAACCTGATTGCAAGCTATTTGACCACGCCTCCCATGGAAAATGTCCCTATCCTTTCACGATTTATGCATTACTATGCTTGTACCCTCTATGTTGACATCATTAATAATAGAACACCTGCAAAATTCCAATTTCAAATCCCTACCTTCCCCTTTTCTTCTCAGTCTAGCTGGATTAATTCACAATTTTTTTTTCATGATCAATCACTAGTTTCATCTTCCAAGTTAACTTCCAAGTCCAGGACCTATGTTTCATTATTAAAATTATTCACTTGCAAAAATCCCGACTTTTATTAAACATCTCCTCCCCTTCTTGCTCACTCAACTAAACTGCAATTCTAAATAATCTAATGCTCTTCTAACACTACACCTGTCTCTGGAAGTTTAACTGTGCTGTGAAAATTATACAGTCATGTTAGATGGCCTGCCTTTCAATTCATAACCACAAGTCTCAAATCGGTATGCAACACTGTCCAGACAAGTCCATTATATTTCCATAATAAGTGAAAATTCCCATTCCCAGGACACATTTCGTCTTTCCTCAAATCTCTCACAATCCCTAGCGATTCTCAAATGGTGATGTCACCTGATGTTTATTTAACCAATACAGAAACAAAAATAAAGTATTTAATCTTTCTGTAAGCAAACTTACACCTATTTAATTTGGTAGATTTCTCCATTCTGTTTCTCCTCAGACATTATGACCAGGCATGCGTGGTCCTACTAAAGGCCAATTCTGCACTTGTGATCTACATCCTACCCCTCTTTGTCTTCCTAAGTATTTTAGTCTTTCTTCACCTTCACTTTTTTCTCTCACATCAACATTTTTTTCTGCTATAGTGAATTATTACACCAATGCATTCTGGTAAATGGTGTAAAAATCCATTTTTATTAAAAAAGAGATCCCTTTTATGCTACATTGCATTTCAGCATTTGTCTCTTTTTTTCATACCTTTTTACAGAATAACTTAAAAGCTATAGTTTCTATCTCCTCATTCTCATCTGTTTTCTTTCAAATCCTCTGTGAGCAAGCTTTTGTCCTCTCTACTTTGCTGAAATTGCTCTTATTAAGTTCACAAGTGATCTCCATGCTTCTCAGCAGAATTCAACACAATGGACAACAACATTGTTCCTGATTTATTATTATTTTTTTGACTTCTTTTCCTTTCTCTTTTGGGCTCTTTCTCTGCTCCTACCCAATATTTCAAAATTGAAGTACCCTAGAAATTGGTTTTAAGCTCTGATATTTAAAACTCTATTTTATTATTATATCTTAAATTCTATTATATTATTTCTCTAAAAATTTTTCCTATATAATCTCAACCAGTTACGTTGCTTGAAATGTTATGAATTGAGCAATGAGTTCCAAACATATGTCCATGTCCCTAACTTTTCCCCTGAGCTCCAAATTTATAAATCCGACTGTCACTTGAGTGACTAATAGGCATCTCAAATTAAGTCTAAAATAGAACTTTCTGATTTGTGTCTCCCTCCCCACAACATGATTTTACATCAATCTCCCTCTATCTCAGTAAAGGGCATTATCATTCACTCAACTGCTTAAGTCAAAAGAACCCTGTAGTCATTCTTAATACCTTTTCCTTTTCCTCCCCTCCACACATCCATGCACACCAGTGTTAAATCGTGTCAGGAGTACCTCCAACATACACACAAAATTTGATCACTTGTAAAATTTAATGGCTGACTTAGAGGATAGTGTTTATTTTTGTTTTATTATTATATAAAATAGTGTCTATATTGCTTACTCTGTACTGGATACTATTACTCTTAACAATTCATGTATATTAACTCAATACTTACAGCAACCTTATTGAATTAGTTACTATTATTGTCCCTATTTTATATATGGAAAAAAAGAAACCTGAGGCACTAAGTAGATAGAAGACTTTCTCAAGGTTTCAAAGCTACTAGGTAACAGAGCTAGAATTCCCATCTAGACTGTCTCTGTGTTCAAGATTTTAAATAGTGACTTCATCAGATATGAGTTTCAGAAACTCCTTATGACAGCACTAAAAATAGACTGATTTTAGGTAGAGGGACTGTGATATGCAAAGGAAAAATGAAGACGGAGATATGAGCTAGGGCAGTGGTCGGCAAACTCATTAGTCAACAGAGCCAAATATCAACAGTACAACGATCAAAATTTCTTTTGAGAGCCAAATTTGTTAAACTTAAACCATATAGGTAGGTACATTGTTATTAACTTAATTAGGGTACTCCTAAGGCTTAGGAAGAGCCACACTCAAGGGGCCAAAGAGCCGCATGTGGCTCGTGAGCCGCAGTTTGCCGACCATGGAGCTAGGGGACAATTTAAGTCATAAAGACAAAATTTTGAATTTAGGCAGTGCCGTCGGAGATGAGAGAAGTGCAGAGATGGAATCAAAAGGACACAATGACTGACTAATAATATGGTCCTGAATTGTCCTGACATTCTTGATAGAATAACAAGAGAAAAAAAAAATCAAATGATTGACAAAATTTCCATCAAGAGTCGAGAGATAATACTTGACTTCACTTGGTTTTCAGAATTATTAAAATTCCATCTCTCATGTCCTCTAAAAATAGGTTGATATCTTACCCCTAGGGTTTCATTTCTTTGAGTCTGATTAAATCTGAAAAGCACATCTAAAACTGTCTTTGCATTCAGATTTATGTTGACCTGATCTAAAAAGAAACACAGACAGTAAATGGCATGGCATTTTGCAGTATTCACTATTAATATATGGTACATGCTATCTAAATACAAGAATTTAAAATAGACAAGCGTATCATTTTCAATCAAGTTTGGTTGTTTAATCTTTTAGATTAATATTTTAAAGGGATAAGAACCCATATCATAAATTATATCATCCTGTGTAAAATTATGACAAGATGATAAATTACTCATGATTATGTATTTTGTTGCAGGATAACATTGTTCTTGCTATATTCCTTTAGTTAAGCATTTTGAAAAGTGTTCTTTTGGTTTCCATGTATGACAACTTTATATACAAACTAGAGGTCCAATGCATGGGATTTGTGCACTGGTGGGGGACATGGCCTGCAGGGATCGGCCCACTGTGAGAGCACCATTCATCCTGGTCAGCCGAGTGGTGCTCCCACTGTGGGAGTGCACTGACCACCAGAGGGAAGCTCCCGCATTGAGCGTCTGCCCCCTGGTGGTCAGTGCGCATCATAGCGACTCGTCAACGGTCGTTCTGGTCATTTGCCATTTGGTCGCTGGGCTTTTATTATATAGGATGCTTCTTCCATGGATACAGCTAATACCAGCGATATTGACTCTTGAATTAAAATAATTCAGATATAATGAAAAAAACGAGAAAAGCACTTCTAGCTCACAACAATCATAGCATCATTATTTTTATTAAATTTGTTAAATTTTATGCACATTTTTAGTTCTTAAAGCAATAGTACTTATCAGTAGCTCCCACTAATTTTTTAAAAATAGGGAGCATGGTTTTTCTTTAAATAGTCCTTATTATTCTAAGATCCAAAGTCTTTTAAAAATAAATTTTCTTTCATTATAGCAAACCAATAAATTCAGTAATTAAACAGTACAAAATGTTTTATTATTTTTCAATGTATTATATGTAAATTTTTCATGACATCATAATTATTCATGAAATTAAGGTAGTATGACCATAAAATAAAAGTTATCAAAACCTGTGTTCCTGGTGGTACCACTTCATACTCTAGGACCTTAGGTAAATTACTTCATTTTTTTATACTTCAGTTTCATTATATTCCAAATGGAGATAACACTACCCAGTTTATAGGGTTTTTTTAAATGAGTGATATATGTTAAGACATTTAGAATAGTTCCTGGGACATAGAGGGTGTCAAAGGATGGTTAACTACTGTTTGTATATTATCATGAGGATAAATCGCATCTTGTAAAGTGCTTTGCGAAAGTGGACTGTGGATGATATAAAAATAGTTCTTTAAAATAGTGAGTATTTTAAAAAAATAATTATACAAATGTATATTCATGTGTTTCATGAAAAATCACTGTGTTGCTAAATCCAAAGCACTTTTCAGTTTTTGTGGACAGGGATCCTATTGAGGGCAATTTGAAAAAAGCTCTGCAGCAAGGAAGAACAAAGCAATGAAGCATAAAAACACATTTACTCAGGATAATTTAATATTCTACAGTGTTCTAAGAGTGAAAAGTCTACTAGATACAGGTAGACTGACCAGTATCTAGTTCTCAGTGTGAAGTTCTAAAATAGATGAGTAGGGAGCTCGATGCTGGTTAGGAAAGCAAGACAGAAGGAAGTCAGAAAATCAGTGATGTTCCCAGCTAAACTTTCTCAGCCAAGATGAAATACAGAGAATCCGAATACCAGACATGAAGCACCTTGGT